AAGATCATGCCGTCTAGGGTAGTGTAAATCCCTCTCTGATCCCTTCCAGGGCTCCCCTAATCCTCATCAGCAGCCCCATCTGCCCCCCCCTTCCTAGTCTTCCCATACCCCCTTTGGTCCACTTAGACACCGTAATCCAGCTTCTGCACTCATACATGTCTCCCACTGCCCTCCTATGCCCTTTCTCCCTACCCTGGACATCCTAATTCTCATCCCTGGGATAAACAATCTCTCCCATTTCTAGAGACATTGTTTTGTTTGTCCCTCCTCACCTGTCCCTAAGTGCCTGTCCCTGCCCCCCACCCTTCCTAAGGTCTATTTACTTTGAATAAATTGACTCTCTTCCTTGGGTTGGCCAGGCATGGACGTCTGAACTGACCTTAGTGTAGAATGGGGGTGGGGAACCTTCAGTCTAGAGGCCACACGTGGACCTCTAAGTCCTCAGGTTTGGTCTTTTGACTGAATCCAAACTTCATAGAACAAATCCTTTTATTAAAGAGGTTTATTCTGTGAAGTTTGGGTTCAGTCAAAGGACTGCACTTGATGACTTAGAGAGCTACGTGTGGCCTCCAGACAGAAGGTTCCCCACCCCTGGTGTAGAAGGTTCAGCTTTCATCTCTGACATACTCTGGTTTTCCAACTGTAGACAAGTCACTTACCTTCCCTGGCATCTCTCCAAGATTATAAATGGAAGACAAGTACCAGGCTAGGGGAACACTGATTAACTTAGTGGCCAGTTTAGTATAGTAGTCTGTATACTTGTTAATAATGTACAAATTCTGCTTATCTGGGACTGCCTCTTCCAGAGCCTGACACTGGTAGGCATTTAATAAATGCTTGTTGCCTGGGCCCAACAAACTTCAGCTTGGGGGTAAAAAGCCAGAAATGATAAAGCCCCTTTGGGGGGGGGGGGGGTGGAGAATTTGATTTTGGGGGGGTGTGTGCTGTGGAGGGGGGGGGGGGGCAGAGTTAGTTATGACTCTTGGAAGGAGTATGTGATCTGGGTTTTGTTGAGAAAGCAGGAATCCTAAGAGCCAGAAGAAGAGAAAGTTATGGGTATGATAGATTTAAGAGCTGGAAAATGCCATTTCAGAAATGGGAGTGGGGTGGGGTGGAGGAGAGAGTGATGGGAGAAGGAGCTGCTTATTAGCATCTCCATATTTATTGGCTCATAGACTTAAAACTGAGGGGGGTGTTTGTAAGTCACTTAAATTCTCTGTGCCTCGGTTTCTTTAATTTGTAAAATGGAGACAATAGCAAGAATTTCCCTGATGGGTTGTGGTGAGGGTCAGATGAGAGCTAGAGTAAGAAAGTCCAGACTCAGACCCTCACTAGCTGTTGGACCTTGGGCAAGTCTGCCTCAGTTTCCTCATCTAGAAAAGGGGTTGACGATAGCCCCTCATAGGGTTATTGTGAGGATCAAATAAGATAATTTTTATGACATGGTGTGCAAACCTTAGAGCACTATAGAAATCCTGTTGTAATTGTCATCTTTTCTCCTGGGCCAGCCAATGATTCAGACTCTGACCGGGAGGTCCCCAAGCCACAGAACAGAAGGTCTTGCTTGGAAGTTCCGTGATGTGGGCAAACACACAGCTCTGCTCCATGCAGACCAGCCCGTCTCCCCATAGAGCATAGATCCTGATCTCCCGGCTGGCCTTCTTTACCCTGGCTCCTCTCTCCCCCTTCTCAAGCTCTGGTCGCTGTCATGCACACATGGAGGTGAAAGCCAACCGGTTGGAGGCGGCTAGGAGGAGGATGGAGCTGCCTAAGGCTAGGAACAGGCAGCATTGCCCAAACCTCCCTAGGCCTCTATGCCCTTATCTCTAAAACCTGGATAAGTGATAATAAACCTTACCCTACTTACCTGACAAACCCATAGGTCTGTGAAAGCACAGTCGGGTGGTAGTCCTCAGCTCCCATTCCCCACTGACCAAAGTCTAGATTTCTTATTCTGGCATTCAAGGCCCTCTCCAGTCTAGTTACAGTGTAGCTTTCCAACTTGATCTGGTATTATTCTCTCCCCACTCATCAAACAAATCCCCAAACTCATCCTTCCTCTCCTCACCTTTCCGTCTCTCTCTGATCCCTGAACATAAAGGATCTCCCCAGTTGCTCCATCCATGTTGACACCCTAGGCTTCCTCTAAGATCTAGATGCATTACCCCCACCTCCTGGAAGCCCCCCTGCCTCCCCCTCAGCTGGGGGCCAATCATAAGCGACACCTAGGTAGCGCTTTCCAGTCTGCAAAGGTCATTCCCAGCAGCATCTCCTTCCTGGAGAAGCTGGAGGAGGGCAGTCAGTTTTAAAAACTGCTCTTTAGGCACAAGTCTAACAGAAATAATTCGTATTAATTTCTCAGTAAACTTACTTCAAGCAGGTCCTGTTTAAGAGGGAAATGTCCAAACTGGCAGGGTCGCCCTCATGCCCTCAGATGCTTTCCTAATGCACTTTTTTGAGCACATATGTTCACATTCCTATTTCTACATAGAGAAAATGGGAAGGAAGTGGCAAATAGGGAAGTAGAGATGGGTCGCCCCCTAGAGACCAAATGTTGATAATGTCCTTGCGGGGAAGGGCCATGTGGAAATTCACAAAGTATGCTTCTGTTTCAATTTGATTCAATTTCAATAAGAACCCAAGACATTTTTGAAGTAACATTTATGAGAAACTTCAGGAAAATTTCACAAGATGGCCATTTGGTGTTAACATTCTTTGCTTTGCTTAATACAGGAGTTTGTAGCCATTTTTGTTATGAACTCCTTAGAATCATTTTTTTAAAAATCATGTTTGATAAATCTTCAGTGTTGGGGGTGTCGGGGCTGTGATGAATAAAAACTATTGCAAATCCTACCTTTAAAAATGTATCTAAAGGGCCATTCTCCATATATTTTGTCATTATTACTGGTTTACCTAAAAAGAAAACAAAGTCACATCGTTTTAATTTCATAAATATATTAAACATGCTTTTGTAGATATACGGATTAGGAAAAATATGCCTCTTTGCATTTTAAACTAGTCATACTAAGAAGTGCTTTAACTATTTTAAAAGTATTAATTTAGTCATGATTTCTTGATACTTTATTAAAGTTCAAATTTTAATATAATACCAACCAATCAACAGTTATTAATTACTAATATTATGTTGGGCGCTATGGGAATTGGGTGTATCAAGGTGGTCAGAATATAACCTTGGTAAATGAGTATCAGACACATCACATTATATAGCAATGAGTCTTGAGGTAATTCAAAATGATACATACTAGACCCAGAAATACCATTTCTAGGTCTGTATTCCAAAGAGATCATAAAAACACGAAAAGGACCCACATGTATAAAAATATTTATAGCAACTGTTTTTGTGGTGACCAAGAATTGGAAATCGAGGGGATGCCTATCAGTTGGGGAATGGCCGAACAAGTTGTGGCATATGAATGTAATGGAATACTATTGTGCTGTAAGAAATGATGAGCAGGCAGACTTCAGAAAAACCTGGAAAGACTTATATGAACTGATGCTGAGTGAAATGAACAGAACCAGGAGAACAGTGTATGAAGTAACAGCCACTTCGTGCAATGACTGACTTTGATAGACATAGCTCTTCTCAGCAATGCAAGGATCTAAGGCAATTCCAAAAGACTCACGATGGAAACTGCTCTCCTCATCCAAAAAAGAACTATGGAGTCTGCATGCAGGTGGAAGCAGACTATTTGCCCTCCTTTTCTTTTGTTCTGTTTTATTGCTTCATTCTCGTGGTTCCTCCCATCAGCTCTAATTCTTCTTTACATCATGAGTAATGGGAAAATATGCTTAATATGAATGTACAAGTAGAGCCAGTATCAGATTGCACACCATCTTAAGGAGGGGGTAGGAGCGGGAGGGGGGAGAAAATTTAAAACTCAGTCTTATGGAAGTGAATGTCGAAAACTAAAAATAAATTAATTAATTATTAAAAAAAAAAGAAAAATGATACATGCTGTTATAGGACAGTTCAATAGTGCTCATATTTAGTTTTGCAATTAATCGATATTGTGTCCCCTAAGCTGCACATGCACACACAACCAATCCATAGCTCCCTAAATACATTTCCAGCTTCAGTACTTTCCTATAAGGAATACCTCAAACTGAAGTTTTCATTTTCCTTTATTCCTTCTACCTCCGTACAATTATTAATGACATTCTTTTTACTTAAAATATACTTACCCTACCTCTACCCACCAACATCTTAGTAACACCTGAAAATTCAGTTCAAATCCCACCTTTTCCATAAAACATTCACTTATATTCCCCAAGAGAAACTGATGTCTCCTTTTCCTTAAATCCTTTTAAAATATTGAATGTTTTCTTGAAAACACTGTTAAAACTTGTTTTCCTAGGGGAAGTTCTTTCCCGTTTTTCCCTCTTATGCTTTTATCTGCATCGCTCATGTAACAATTAGAAAATTCTGTCTATTGAATTTGTTCAAAGACTTCTCTTATGCCAACTATTAGATTATCAATTCTTTAAAAAAAAATCACGTTTGAAAAATGTGATAAGAAATTTCCATTAGAGATTAATGAAAATAAATGTCATTTCCCACCCCCCCCCATCCTTGTTGATAGACTCTGAAGTCGGGCAGACCCCACGTTAAAAGCCCCTGATTTCCTCTCACCTTGTCTCTGGTTCCTGACCTCCCTGGCTTCCTTCCAACTTCTTCAAGAAGCCTAAATTAAGCCCCCTTGATTCTAGCGCCTTCTCTCTCGAGATTATTTCTAATTTCTTTTGTCTGTGTCCAGCTGGTAAACGGTGACCAGAAGTAACCACAGAGACTTCTTTTCTCGATCCATACACACCCCAATACCTTTGGAGGATGGCGGAAGCCAGTCCTGCTCTCGGGTGGGCCCTGACCCTGATCCTTCCATTAAGGACCTTTGTGCTTCCTTTCATCGACCTCCTACAGACTTCAAGAGCGGATTGCTGATTTGGAGGAGGGGAGCAGGGCATTGCTTCAGAGTGGATAAATCTGAGAATTCTGACACTGAGGTTTCTCTTTCACACTAGTCCAAAGGCTTCAGGTTAGGTTCCTGAGAAGAGCATTTTCGTAATATCTCTTAAGGGGGGATGAGGGGCTTTGCTCTCACACGTGGACCATGGACAAGGAATCTCTAAGAAGGTGTAATTTGTCCTCAGACACAGTGTTAGACTCGTCAGAACCCAGGCGTTAACTGATTCCCAAACCCATCACCCTTCTGCCTGATCTGCCATTTTGCCTCTTCCATACATTCCACAACCCTAAATCCATCAAATGCTACTTTTCTAGTTATTCTAATTATTTCCAAAGTTATTGCTTCCTTGAGAGCAACGAGCCTGGCCTGTCTATCTTTGAGACCCTAGGGGCCAACACAGAATAGAGTTGATGTTTATTGAATTGAATTCCTGGCAGGCAGGACCCCCTAACCCTCTCCCCTTTCCTTGGCTAGGAAGCCTTAGCACCATACAGTCTGGTCCCGTGTTACTGTTGTTGTTCAATCATGTCCTATTCTTTGTGACCCCACTTGGAGTTTTCTTGGCAAAGATACTGCAGCGGTTTGCCATTTCCTCCTCCAGCTCATTTTACAGATGAGGAAACCGAGGCAAATAGGGTGAGGTGACTTGCCCAGAGTCACACAGCTAGGAAGTGTCTGAGGCCAGATTTGAACTCACAAAGATGAGTCGTCCTGGCTCCAGGCCCAGTGCTCTATCCATTGGTCCCACAGGGAGCCTTAATTCAGCTCAATCCTTACTGTTCCCTTAGCACATCTAACCCAACCCTTTCATTTTATAGATGAGGCCCAGAGAAGTTAAGAGGAGTTGCCTATTAATGACTGCTTCTGGGATCTAGTCATTTAACCAACCAGTCCCAAATCCACCTAACTGTACTGTAGTTTAGCCAAACTTTTCCACTGTTTTTTCCCCCGAGAATATAATGAGATACTTTGTCAAATGCTTTGCTAAAAAAAAACAAACAAACAAGGAGAATTCTATTTATAGTGTTCCCCTGATCTACCAGTCTAGCAACCCACTCAAAAAAGGAAGGACATTGCTGCTTCTCCGCCTCACAGCTTACCTAGCTTGCCACAGCTGCTCCAACATGTTCTATTTTCAGCTTTCCTCACCTTTGTCCTTGACGTCCTCTCAATCCTTCCAGGATTGGAAAGTCAAGTTCACAGGCCTATAGTCTACAGACGCCATCTGTTTTCCGTGTTTTGAGATTGAGGGTGCTGTCTGCCCCCCAATCACAGGGCACCTCCCCTGCTCTTCCGTCTTTTTCCAAGACTGCTGAACGAGGCTTCTTGTCTGAGATGGTACTGCCCCCCTTCTCTCTACCTCTTGACATCTTCCTCTGCCTTTCATCTGCCATCTTCTCTGGGAATCCTAGCTCAGTGCTTCATCTGAAAGTGACCTCTTTCTCAAATTCCCCCGAGGGTCCTGTGTCTGATCTCACCTTAGCCCCATCACCCCCTATCTCCTGTTAAGGTTATTTGTGTACACGTCACAATCCTCCTATGAGATGGTTCATAGCACTGGAGATGGTAGGGACCTCAAAGGCCATTGTGTACAACCCCCTCATTTTACGGAGGGGGAGACTGAGTCCCAAAGATGGGGAAGTGCTTTGCCCAATAGTGCCATATAGGTATTAGTGTCAGAGGCAGGATTTGAACCCAGGTCTTGTGTCTCTCTAAATCCAGCATCCTTTCCCTTTCCACCGGACCACACTACCTCTGGTATCTAGGTAAGCCTCTTGAAGGCAGGGACTGGATCATTTTTCATTTTTGTATCTACCGCAGTGCCTGGACTACAGGAAGCGCTTTAATCAAGGTTGAGTTGAATGTTTTGGCTTTGCACTAAGAGAAAAGAAGGTCCCCTAGGGCCTTGAGGACCCTCCAGTCTGGCGGGAGGGGTCTCAGGAGAACATTTGTGAAAGAGGGACCGGAGAATGGTGTGTTGACCGGGCCTCTCTCCTCCCCTAGAAAATCGACCCTGAAGTGGCGGCCTTCCTCCAAGAGCTTCGAGGACGGGTGAAGATTGGGGTGGTGGGAGGCTCAGACTACTCCAAGATCGCGGAACAGCTGGGTGAGGGGGACGAAGGTGAGGCTGGAGCTGAGGTCCTGCATGTGGGGCTTGGGGGAGGTGAGGGAATTAGGGGAACACCTCCAGGCTGCCCCTCTTCCTGAAACAGAGTTAGGGAAAGGCAGGAACCAGAGGGGAGAGGCAGGGAGGCACCCAGGCCCGCTATTCTGGGCTGAACAAAGTGAATTTGAGTCAGAGAAGGAAGTGGGGGTGTTTAAACTAGGCCGAAACGACTGGTGGGGGGGGTGGGGGGATGGCAGGGGGTTGTGATGTGGGTGACGAATCCCAGCTCAGCACGGATTATAAAGTGGGGCTCGCCTTTGGGGCGGGCCAGTACCCTCCTTATAAAAGGGAGGAAACTGAGGCTCAGAAATTCTGGTTAAATCGGACGGAGGGCAGTTGGGTCAGGACGGGAAGGGATACCTGGGTCACTTCTGCCGTGTTTCCTTCCTGGTCTGCATCTGCTTCGGACCCTGCCTGGCCTCCCTGCTGTGCCTCATTCCTCACCCAAAGTCATAGAGAAGTTTGACTACGTGTTTGCCGAGAACGGGACGGTGCAATACAAAAATGGACAGCTGCTCTCCAAGCAGGTTGTCCCCCACCCCCTCCCCCACTCCAGGGTCTCTCCTCAGTTCGCTTCCTGTTTGACTCCTGCCCTGCTTTTCCCCCAATCTCTGCTCCTCCCCCGTATGGGGGGGGGTGTCTGTATTGATGCCCTGACACTTCCTGACCTCAGTGCAGCCTGAGGCAGAGATGGTCCCATGCTACAGATAAGTCAACTGAGGCCCCAGTGGGCTTCCCTCCAGAGGGTCTGCTCCCAGCTGGGTGAGGGGGCTAGGACCCAGGGACATTGGGGGGTGCCTAGGACCATCTGTCCCTCATAGCGTGGGCCCCCCGGAGGACAGGGGCAGTCCCCTCTCTCTGCACTTCCCCATCCTCTCTTTCCCCTCCTGCTCCGGCCTCAGACCATCCAGAACCACCTTGGAGAGGAGCTTCTGCAGGACCTCATCAACTTCTGCCTCAACTACATGGCCTTGTTGAAGCTGCCCAAGAAGCGGTAAGGCCAGGATGCTGCCCCCCAGCCCTTTGTCCTGAGGGAAGATCCAGGACTGGGCTGGAGAGGAACCCTTGAGGGGGGAACTGGGACAGGGAAGCTCAGAGCCGGGAGGGGCCTGAGAACAGGGGATGGCAGGGCCGGGAGGGGCCT